AGAAAACCACAAGACATGAACATACCTTACTCTTGAAGTATGGGTAATGGTCCATGATCCACTGGTAGATGTCACACAGAAGCAGTTTCTTCTGCTCAGACGCCAGGATCGCTTTGGAGATGAGTGCAATGTATGACTGGTTGGGTTTGTCCGCAGACTTCTCTGTACCGCAGCTCGCAGACGTGGTGGTAGTGGTGGTGGTCACTTCCTCCTCCCCCTCCTCTTTTTGGTCTTCATCCCCCTCATCTTCTTTGGCTTTCCTTTTTTCAGCATCTACCTCTGACCTCTGTAGACCCTTCTCTTGGATCTCACAGCGAATCCCCACCTCTTCGAGTTTAGGATTCTGACGACCTGGCATGTCGTTCGTTATCTGCTCTGCAGCACGACTTGCTGTTGCATCGTCTTTAGAAGCTTTGGCTCCTTTATTAAAGAGCAGGTAGTCAATTGTGAAGCTCAGTCCCAGTCTGTCTCTGCTTCCGTTGCGGCTGCTTCTTTCCTCCATTGTCATTTCTGAATTAAAATATCTCAAGCTCATGGCAGAGGTTTTATTGATTTCACGCTGACTGTTGAACAGGTGTCAGGTCATGAATAAAAAATATCTCTCCCAAACGTCTTCTCAAAACTGTGTATCTAAGTTGCACAGCATGTCTATTGTTCTTTAAAATTAGGAGCCTTCATAAAGCCAGCGTCTCGCTGCCACTAAATTCTTTCACCGAAGACTTACTGTTGACAAGATCACCGATAAAGATGAGCCTCTCAACTGTTGTTAACCTTGATGCGCTCACGAGTGACCCAATCTCAACCTGTGGAAATGACGTCAGTCGCCAAGACTAAATGCGGACGCTTCGTTTGCCAAGAAATTTTCGGTAAATCTTTTCGATTCTTTGATAACCCTGTCAATCCAAACCTATCACTTGGTATCCGTCAGCCTTTTGCTCCCGAATCAAAGAGTTGTGCTTCAAAGATGTGAAGGTGACTCTATTTATATGACTGTGATTTTATCCCTCGCAGAAAGGGGCAAAGGAGGCACAGGGGAGGTCCAAGTGGGGGGTCTCAATTGAGGCGGATTATTTTTATTAACCTAAGCAAATCTTTGTAATTACGGGAGATTAAACACTCAAGATTTAGTAAGACATGGTGTGCAAAGGATGGATGTTAGGTGGATGTAGAATCAAAGGCCTTTTAGATGCCAGAGTTATCCTGTTAAAGTCGTTTTGTCCAGGATACTGTCCAAAGAATTACTTCAATTACCATCGAGGAGTAATTAATGGGTCAACTTCAGCACGTTGGAGATAAGTCACGTCTTTATTTGCAAAGACCATTAATGTCTCTTGCAGCCATCGACGGCGACGAGGTTACAGAAAAGTGAAGCGTATGAATGACAAATTAGAAAGGTTCACTTCCCGTTCTTGATATAAACTCTTTTAATATTGGATCGTTCAACACCTTTATTTAATTTGTTACCAAATACCTTTTACTACTTCAATTATTAGCTAGTGGAAAAATTATTTTTTTAACATGTAACAATAAATTACTGCATATATACATGATTTTTTTTTTAGTTCAGCTAACATAATTATATATTTTGTTTAAAATCTGTCTTAAAGATAAAAACTGTCTGTGGTTACTATTAAACCGTATTATATTGTGTTCTGTAACTGTGCAGGATATTTTACTGGCTAATATAGTTTATTTTTTCTGTATGCAAATAATTATTTCCTTTGACTTGAAAATTTGTTATTTCATTAAGTCATTCATTTCTACATTTGATTAAGATTTATCTTTTAATGAAGGTTTTGTTTCAGATCCTTATGGAATAAAAATCTCCTTTAAATTAAGTTTGACATGGTGTTTGAACATTTCTAAACTTTTCTCTGTAGGTATGTTGTAATGTCAACAAAAAGGAGATTTAGCTGAAATATATCAGATTCATTTATGTTACAATGTACAAATCAAACATCATGCTTCAAACTGCTGAAATTAACATTTTTGGCAATGTTAATTGATTTCATAATTAAAGAAAGTTATTGTTTGTGTGTTTTTGATCAGTGGAAGATTTCTTCAAGCAACACCACATTATGTGCATACTCTCTGCCTGATTCTTCTAGTGCTTAACTGAAACTGTATCAGACTTACAGTCTATGGTAGGCTATACAGTCACCAGCCACTCTGTTAGGCACACCAGTAATGTGACATGGTTGCATGACACAGTGCTACAGATTTGCCAGTAAAACTTTATGGGTGTATTTCCCCTCTAATAAACATATATTTCAACATAGTTTATTTTAAATTACAATATAATTATATTTACACACAAATACTTAAAGGTAGGTGCACTAGAATAAGGGGGTTTAAAGTTGGGTTTGTCCAGGAAGCAAAGAAGTGATTAAACTGTAAATAAATTTAAGTATCACATAAACAATCACATAAATACATAAATACACAACAAGTATTTTGAAGTAAAGTTCAACATTATAATGATGGCGGCATTTCAATTTTTTTTTCTTTCACAATCACTGTTCAAACATAACTTTGAAAAGAAGTGTCTCCTTTCCTGCAAAATACATGGAAGTTAGGTAAGGTTAAGCACTCCATAATATGGCCCGTAAGATGGAGAAACATTGTTTGTTTTTCCACAAAATTAACATGAAATTCCACCCTACTTAAAATGCAGTACCCCTAATTCTTTTACTTGTTGATAAATTTAAATAAAATGTTGTCATTTTACATAAAACACATTGAAATTCCTTTTAATTACAGGGGAGTTACACCTTTAGTTGCAGATAGTATTATAAAGTGTTACCAATTTTCAGCTGCACATCCATTATGTGAATCTTCATTTTACCACATCCCAAAAATGCTCTGCTGGACTGAGATCTGGTGACTGTGGGCGCTGTTTGAGTACTCCCGTGTTCAACAAAGTCGTCTGAGATCATTTTAACTTTGTGATGTCATGCGTTGTCCTGCTGGAAGACACTGCAGTACACTGTGGTCATAAAAAGGATGGACATGGTCAGCAAGAAACACTCACAAAACCTGTGGTGTTTAAACAATACTCAGTTGCTACTAAGGACCCCAAAATGTGCCAAGTAAATAGCCTCCACACCATGACACCACTAACAGCAATAATACAAAGCAGGATGGATCCATGCTTTCATTGTTCACCCCAGTTCTGACACTTGCATCCAAACGTAGCAGAAATTGAGACTGTCATTTTGTCCAGTTTTTGTGAGATCACTCAAACTTTAGTCTCATTTTCTTAGCTGACAGAAGGGTCAACATGTGTGTTCAGCGATGCTCTTCTGCCTCGGTTGTAACGAGTGGTTAACTGAGTTTCTTTAGCTTCCCTGTAAATTCCAAACAGTCTGGCCAGAACCTCTGCTCACTGGATATTTTCTCCTTTTCAAATCATTCTCTGTAAATCCTAGAGACGGCCGTGAAGGAAAATAACAGTAGATCAACAGTTTCTGAAATACTCAATCCAACACATCAGATACTAAAACCCATATCGTGGAGATAGTCATCTAAATCACCTTTCTACACCATTCTGGTGCTCAGAATTTCAACAGCTCATCTTTACCACGTCTATGTGATATTTGCATTAACAGGCATTTGAACAAGAGTACCTAAAAAAGTTTATTTGAATCAGTGTGTGACAGTTATTCAACCTAAATGTTTTTTTTATTCTGAATATCTCTGGGATCTTACACAAATAAAAGTGTATTTTCAGCAGCGAATGTATAACGATGTAACTGTTTTAACATTAAGTATAATTAACCCACCCTGTTCTAATAGCATTTACAGCTTTAGCCTGTAGGCATCAGCAGTATGGTGATCTGCTTTGTTCTTTCAGATTAACAGAGGGGATGCACTTAATCACAGTCAGGTCAAATCATGGACCATATTGCCCTCTTCTGTTTAAGTAATGGAACAAGACACGCATGCACAACATTAAATCACAACTCTATGCAACCTTTCAAGCTATCGTTGTAATTAGTTTTATTAAATTATTTTCAGCCTCATACTACAGTGACTACAAAAACGTGAAGAGTTAGAATTCTAAAAATAACAGCCTTTACTGTGTAAAATATGAAGCTGAGATTATGGGTTTTGTTTTGAGGGGGAGGTGCACTAAACGGAGAATGAATGCATGAATGACTGAAGTAAGGGAATCTCAGATTTCCCATTTAAGTTTTATTTGTAATTTAAATTAAGATAATCTTTTTTTATAAGTCAGCACAGAAGCAGAGCAATCTGTTCTTTTTGAAATACAGCACTGCTTTATTGACGTTTCCCATCCAAAACGGAGCCACAACAAAACACGCCATGTTATTACATGATACTGCAATTCCCTCAATTGATTTTGGTTTTTCCATGAGGCTATTCTTTGCCCACATGTGAAGAGTTTTGGAAAAGCAGGGCTGGATCGTCAATCGGAGCAGATATTTCCCTCAGCAAACATATTTCCATTTTGCTGATGTCTTAACACAACCTGGCATTTGTGATTCAGAGAAGGTATTGCAGGACTATACCTACACGTCTAAGTGTGTTTTCTTAATAAGTCGTTTTAATTTAATTATGAACATGCCTCAGACAAAGCATTAACGCCACATCTGACGGCTGGTCGACTAACCTGAAATGGAATATTTTGCTCGGACGGGAATTGAAGGGACCATGCGACCCAATCCGTTTGACAGCCCATGCTTTCCCGTCACGCTGAATTTAAACTATCTTTAAGACACGAGTTCAGAATATCGCAAAACTATAAAATTGAAACAGCCTCAATATTAAAATACTTTGACATGTGGTGTTATTAATCGACACAGAGGCCTATTTTGGAAGGGAGACCTGCCTCTTAGTGTTTTTTAAAAGTTGTGCTGTAACTTTAAAACAACGTGGTCCCGCCTATTTTCAGTGAATCGCTTCGGATGCTGGCAAAAGTCGCGCTGTGATTGGATGGAGACGACTGTCTATTGAAGCAGGGTCATTGTTCCATTGGTGCAAGACTGGCCGTCGTCTCTGACTCTCGCGGTACTGCTGCACGAAGATGGCGGCCGAACTGGTGGAAGCGATGGCAAGTAGAGCTTGGTTGGCTTTGATTTGATAGGAGACGTGCGCGGGATTGTGGGCTGAAAGTCACCCCAGTTGTGGGGAAACTGTGGGTTTTGTGGGAATATTATTAAAGGGTATTTACTCTTAAAAATGTGGTGTATTTCAAGCACGACGAAACAAACTAGCCTATGGTGCTAAGGTAGCTAGCCTGCCTGGAAATGTTAACCAGGCAAGTGCGTTGGTTCACCTAGCATCACGCTGGCTCTGGAGGAAGACACCGAAAATGAATGATGAGACCATATAAGCGTGTGGTTGTTTTTGGTCTAGCCTGCTACCTGGCATGTTACCGTTTGACGTTATTTGGCTTACAGGAATATCTGTTTGTAGTTCACCGGTTAGTTTATGGAACTGTGCACCTGTCAAAATATCTAGCAGTCGTGATTGAATGCCGAGTGTGAGAAGCTAGCCCGGCGATAGCGCAGGCTACACTAGCAACGTTCAAGTGAGGTTGAGCAGTCTGTAACGCAGCTGTATTTGAAGCTCAGCGGTTCAGTTGGATCCATCCATAAAGTCCTGTTTTGTTTTTGTTTTTTAAATATAGACATGAAGCAGTTCTCCACTAATGTCTATTTCGGCCATGTCAGACAAAGCTCAGGCTTCTCTGGCGGCTAAACAACAACATTCCGTGTTTTGCCCCTAGAGCTCAGTTCGCGTGCTCTCTGCTTCATCATAAATAAATAATACTTTTCTTTTTAAAAAAAAACAAAAAAAAACCCGACCTCACATAGGATGATACGACATACACATTATGTCGAAAATAAGAGATTTTGCGTTTACTTTGCAATTCAATGTGCGTCTGCACCTCATATGTTTTTACTAAATAAACATCCTCGCCTGCTACGATGGGTCTTCAGCTTACATTTTTCGGATTGGTGTACAAATTAGGTTGTTAAGCCATAAACAACAAATTAAAATTATATTAAACAGTTAATGGAGCCATAAACATGCAGAATTTGCAAAGCCGTATTTGTCTTACATTTGTTGTGGACTGTAAACAGATTGTATGTATATGTTTCATGTAGGTAAGAACTATTTGCACATTTCTAGGCCACTAACAAGAAATAGTAGTTTTTAGGCACCTATTTCATTGTAACTGAGCCTGCCAGACTATTCCTTTAGCTTTCTGTGTGTTAAATGACAGATAGTGTGGATGGAATTAGTGCGTTTCCGAGTTCTATTCATACTTTTAAGCCACCTTTGGAAGTTTATGGTTCTAAAGCCTAATTAACACTACCACAATTAGTGTGATCGCTTGAATCATGGCCAAGCCATTGTTCTTAGAGTTGGAAGTGAACTTCTTAATATAGCCAGCTAATTACAACACACTTTAAATCCTCTATAGGATTAAAGTGACCAAGGACAGATGCTAATTTTAGCAAGTACCAAGCAGTTTGGTGAACTGTTCTGCATATAAGTTACCTGTAATTAACTCTGTGCATCTTCCAAGGGTTAAAAAGAAGTGTGTAGGTGTGTTTACGCAGGACTTTGCACACAATATTGAATTATTTCATTCATTTGCTTAATATAGTTACTTGAGTAAAATGAAAGCTTATAAACATAAGTATTCTAACATGTATCTTCCTCTCTTGGACAAATGTGAAAATGGTAATTGGCATTGTATAAACTCCTTCATTTGAGATGTGGCTCTTGAAAAAAAGTCTGAACTTGTAAATTAACTTTGTCACTTAAGCCTTTCCAGAAATCTAATTGTTTTTGTGCTCCTCCTGTTATATTTTTATTTTTTGGTCTTGTTTTCCCACTAGAATATGGTCAAAAGTTTCCGGGTCTCAGACCTGCAGACGCTGCTGGCCTCAATGGGTCGCAGCAAAAGTGGGCTGAAGCAAGACCTGGTGGGGCGTGCGTTGAGGCTAGTGCAGACCGAATACAGCCCAGAGCTGTTGAAGAACGTCCGGCAGCTCTACGAGTCACGTTTCCCTAAAACATCTGGTTGGCTGGCTGCACGGCGTCCGGAAAGTGTCCCAGTTAACTACTCATCCCTCAGCTCTTCCCCTACTGCCACCTCTCAGGGCGCAGACTACCTCAACGGCATTTCCAAACCGATCACCACACCTGCAGCAGAGGTGAAGCTAGTGCCACTGCCCTTCTACCAAACTTTAGAGACACTGCTACTACCAACAGAGCTAAGTGAGTGTGGACTATTTGTTAGGCTTTTTGTGTTTTTGGAAAACGTTGCATTTTTACTCGACATTGAGAATTTGCACTGTTCTTTTTTTACAATGGATTTTGTCTCCATCTGCTTACAGTTGCCCAGAACAGTGAGAAACTCCAGGACAGTCAGTGCATCTTTGAGTTAACACCCAGCCAAGCAGACCAGATTCGAAATGCAAGGTAAAAAGTCACACTGTCTGTTAAAACTGCACTTTAGGTTAACCCCAGGTTAATATAAAAATATCTCTGTGAAGCTCATTTTAATTCGTCACCTATTATTTTCTTAGTGAACTTCGTCCAGGAATCCGATCAATCCAAGTGGTTCTTAGGTAAGTTCCCAGTAAAAACATTGGGGGGGGGGATTTTTTTGGTAGTGACTGTGTCATAAAAATATCAGAATTCAAACCAACGAGGACAAATTGCTTCTTTGTATATACAGTGTTTGTGTTTAGTCTCTTACAATAGAAGACCTCACTCATTTATTCCTCTGTTACTGCTCTCTGTTGCAGAATCTGTTACACAGACTCCATTGGTGTTCAGGAGGACCAGTATCCTCCCAACATAGCTGTCAAAGTTAATCAGTCCTACTGTCATGTGCCGGTGAGTTGATTAACTCTGAAATGTCCCACACCTTCATAATACAGACATGACTAAAGCTGGGCTTGTTTTCCTGTTTTGAAGTGTGTTCTCAGTCATAGCTCATAGCATCGTTTTTAGATACACTCAGGGTGTCAGTCACAGATGTTTTACCAGGTCAGTGATAAAATGTCATAATGTGACAGTGATTGATAATATAACCTAATGTAAGTGTGTCTTGAACAACATAAAGGGGAAAAATAAGATTTGGGTAAAGATGATGTTGGCTTATCTGAAGACCTCAGGAAACAAAACTTTAGGAGGAAGCTCTCCAGCTGGCCGATACTATGTGGCTTAAGGTGTGCCACAAGAAATCGAACTGGCAGGGTAGCACCTAGATGACAGCATAGGAGGGTGTGACTATGACCTCTCGAGGATTCAAATTTGGCCATAAATGTCTAAATTTGGGCTCCTGGCCTAATCCTGCCATTCTGTCTAGTACACAGATATTTTAATCTCTGACTGTTTGTACATACTGTGAATTGTTGAAAAGCTCCATTGTGCTTTAGATAACGTGAGTTCTAAATGTCTCAAGAAATTTTAAGACGTTTAAATTCCCTTGCCTCGTAATCACACTTTTAAACTTTAATTTGAACCTTCTGTTTTTTTTAAGCTGCTTGCCTGATATTCTGATAATTAAGTCATTTTCAAGCGGAATTAACATCTGTTACAAATTTCACTCTCTCAAATATCAGATTTCATTTTTGATATTGTAAATTAGCGTTGGGTTAAAGTCTGAAAAATTTAACACAGTATTTCATTGCCATTTCCAATAATGATATTTATGATCGATGTAGAAAACTATAGTGAATGATGTTTTATGATCGTACCTTGCAAGCAGCAGCATTTATTTAAATGGGCTTTTCTACTCTACTGGAGCACTCAGTGCTTTATATAACATGCCTCTTTCAACCATCCACACACATGTCTATACGTACATGCATAATTTATAATATATATATTACCCTGTTATAGGCCCGAATGAAAAACACTTTCTATTCATACATGCTCACATTTGGGTGGATGCACTTTAGCACTTTGGGGTTCGGTATCTTGCCCAAGAATACTTTGGCATCTGCAGAGATCAAACCACCAACCTTCCACTTAGTAGATGACCTGCTCTACCTCCTGAGCCACAGCCACCCAGTGCAAACAAAATAAAGGGAAAATTCCATCCTTTTCCAAAGATCTGCGGTCATTCATGAAAGCACCTAATACATGATCGATTGCTACAAGATGCCAGCACCATTGTAGTGCAATAATAATGTTGGATGTACAGTAATAATAATAATGAAAGTAAGTACAGAAGAAAAAAATTATGCATAAAGATTGTTTAAGTTACTCCCTTTTTGTAATCACAGGCTGTTATGTGGCTCTCACTCAAGGCATGTCTGGGCTTGTCTTGTTGTGCTAGCAGTAGAAGTAAACACGTGGCTTTGATATCATAATTTAACTTGTTTGTTTTGTTTTTTATTTGTACTGGTATTATCTCAAATGATATATGTCACAGCCCTATTGTAAACTGAATATTTTGAATGAAGGTAAATCAACACTTAAAAATATGACCTTCAGCTCATATTGCAGGTTAGCTGTGCATGGTAAAGGAAACAACCCTCATTCGTGCTAAAAGTAGTGAGAAGAAGGTGTCTGTTTTGAAATTATGAAAAGATATTTGAGATGAAGTATTACATAATTAAGTGTTGCAGTCTTATTTATTTTCAAATTGTGTGTGTTTTACAGGGATATTATCCTTCCAATAAGCCTGGTGTTGAACCTCGTCGTCCTTGTCGTCCTATAAACATCACTCCGTGGTTGCACCTCTCCAATGTCACCAACAGAGTCACCATCACCTGGGGAAACTTTGGAAAGGTCAGTTGAATCCTGCCTTTTGCAGCCATAGCTCTCAGGGTTGTCATTAGCACAGATATTTTTTATTTATGTTTTTTTTATTCTGCTAATCTGTCCAGCTCCTCTTGGAAGGTTCTGTAATTCATCGAGGCATGCTGATACTTGTAGATCTTTGAGTGTTTCATTGGCCTCACTCGACTGTATGTGTAATACACCTTTGTAAGCACGGTTGCCACCACACTGAGTATTTTGAGAGAGTATGTGTGTAGACAGAATAACTTTTGGTTAGGTTTGTTATCACATTTTGTACAAACAAGAAGGTTTGTGCAAACCTTGAGCAACTTCATTTTAGTCACAGCTTGATCACATGTGATGAAACGGCTCAATTTAAAAGTGTCGTGTACTTGAGGAAATGCACATTCCACACATTTTGTCTGCAGTTGCCATGTACAAATAATAAATTCACTGCTCAGCATATAGAGTCTGTAAAAGTCTAAAATTTGGTTGGCCTAGCAAGTTTCAGAAGAAGTCTGTGTGATATAATCCATAACTGGTGGGCGATATAGCCTCAAAATATCACTGTATTTAAAGAAAACTAATAATGATATTAGTGGCATTATATACACACACACACACAGAGTTTTATTGGCCGGAAGTGTAAGTACAAAAATGGCATTTCCCATCCTGCTTTTGTAGTGAACTTTTGTCACTGATGACACTTCTTCTAATTAAAGTTTGATACAGTGATATAACATTAGTCAAATGTAAGCGCAAGAATAGCCTAGCGACTGTTTTCTCTAATCCCCTATTTAAAAATGTAAACACTATATTTGAAAAAAGCTTCACACTTTAATTTAACAATAACTGTAATAAATAACTATATAAGTCGTCAGTGCTGCCCAGTATTGTCACATAATAAAACCGAAAATAATAATGGATTATTATTATTTTCTCTCTCTAGCGAGTCTCATATATATATTTTTACGTGGAAAGATTAAATGGTGAATATTTCATCACTCGTCGATGAATTGTAACCACAATCAAACATGGGGAACATTATTTATACAAAATCATTTTATGTGCTGCTTGTCCAAGGCTATGTCCACATGTACCCGGGTATTTTTGAAAACGCAGATTTTTCTATGCGTTTGCACCTTTCGTCCACACGTAAACGGCGTTTTCGGTCACTGAAAACGGAGATTTCTAAAAACTCCGGCCAGGGTGGATATTTTCTAAAACTCCGTTTTTGCATTTACGTGTGGACGAGAAAAACAGAGAAAACGCAGCGTCAAAGATGTGCGCCTTTTTTGACGTCACAGTGTGTGCCACGTTATTGTTTTGGTGAAATGAATTTCTACAATACTGTTACTGTTACTTGTACTCTCTGCAGTGTTTAAATGCTTACATATACACACACAGTTACTGTCCCTCCACACATACGACTCAGTTCTGCTTCTATGCCCCAGCTTTGTTTACTATTTCCCACTGAGGCTTCTAGACTTCTGATTGGCCAACATTTCTACACGGTTAAGAATATATCGCCACCTGTTGCTTTGGCATGTTCCTAGCAGCGTTTTCCTTCATTTCTGCCTTTACGTGTGGACGGGATTATTTTTTAAAACGAAAACGGAAAATCTCCGTTTTCAAAAATACCCGTGTACGTGTGGACGTAGCCCAAGTTGCAGATTCACTGATGTCTCATAATCGTTAGAGAGGTGACCTTGTACTAATTTGATGGTTCTGTTTCAAAATTTTGAGTGAATTCTTACAATAACATCGTGTTTAAGTTCCACCGTCAGTTCCCGATTCTCGGTGGATAAATTCTTGTTACATTTTATTAAAAATCAGTTGATCTGTGTTTGCAGCGTTACTCTGTGGCGGTGTATTTAGTGAGGGTGTTCACCGCAGCAGACCTCTTCAGCCAGCTTAAACTCTGCTCAGTTGAGAGTGCAGAACGCTGCCGTGAGCGCAGTAAGTAATGCTTTTACACTCACCAAAATATTTTTGCTTGCAGCTTTCACATTCAGAGTAAGATGAAAGGTACACAAAGTCACTTCAGTGCAGAATGTAGGCGTCAATAACTGAACATTTTGTTTCTGGTATGACTGGATTTTGCACGGATGTGTGTCAAGGATCAGTTCGAGGTTGTTCTTCCAGTGTACACATTTCCTTTTTTAGTCCTGCCACGTCTTTGATATTTGCACATTGTAAAGTAATGACATCAGACTAATAATAGCAAACACTTGGAGTTTCAACACTAAAGTTTTAACATAATAAAATAATAGTTGATGATTAAAACCTGTGTATGTCTAAGTTTTTGGAATATTGATCAGGATTCAGTAAAAACTGTAATCTTTAAGTGGAATCGTTATCAGTAAAAACGGTTTATATCCATTCTCGCTGTGTAGTTCATTATAAATAATGTAGGATAATGTCTGATACAGAATGTCATAACCGTGTACTTACATTTATCTACAGTACAAGACAAACTACGCTTCGACCCAGAGAGCGAGATTGCGACCACAGGACTCAGAGTGTCTCTCATCTGTCCAGTGAGTACATCCTGATTGCAAATGGAGGGGCTTTAAAACACAAAGCAACTCGTGCCACATTTGCTGCAAATATGCATTATGATTTCTGCTCAGTCAGAGCAGAAAAGCAGGACAATCTACAGTGTAGAGTGAATATCTTCACTACATTAATCAAATATTCCGTTTAAACAGTTTACCTCCATTTACATCCATTCAACCTTGGAGTGAAATCAAAGCTATGTTTATACTGCTGTTCTACAGTGAATATCCGTTTGTAGAAAGCTCATTGTGTCCATGCACATTTATTTAATACATTATTCAATAATAAGGTTTTGGGGTGTAAATGGCTTTGTGACAAATAATTGAGCAGTGTAATAGGCTGACTCTCTAGCGAGTCTCATCCTGTGGCCATACTCTGACTCCACCATCTTGGACTGCAGCTCTCAACGGCAGCCTTTGTGGTGCTCAGCAGCTTCTGTGAGCTTGACAGAGCAGCACATGAACCAGTTGTCCAGTTGTTATAGCATCTGTTCGCAGTCCAGAAACTTGCAGCACACCTCCAGGATAGGATTGCCATTACCAGCTGCAGTCCAGCACAGTGTAGTGGGAATCCTGTCTGTGAGACAAGATCCTCTCTGAGGAAGCAGCTGACTCATAATAAGTAATGTCACACTGATGACCTGGCCAGCCTGAAAACACTACAGGAAGGACAAGGCCAAGCTGGATATCAGCGACAAACCTTAACTATAAGAGCAAGGTCTTTGTCAAATAGTAAAGTGATTGCAGATTGCTCCTTAAACTCATAAAACACTGCCAAAGCTATTCACCATATATACCTGTGGGAGTGTAGAATAGATGGGGCCAGCTCGCCCAGTAATGTGTGTGGGTGGGGAAACTCTGTGACCATTTGGAAGGAAACTTGTTTCCAGGACATTGATTGACAAATACAGGGAGAAATGTTGTTTTAGTGCAGTGCGTGCTGTTGGAAAATATTGTTTCACAGTCCTGTGGCTCTGTTGTCATGCTGTGTCTAAAAGCCCCTCAATTTATTTAGCTATTAGAAAAGTCCCAAAATGTTTTAAAAAGCATGATATCACCCGATATCACATCTGTTCCTTTTTTCTCGCTTCCAGCTGGTGAAGATGCGGCTTGGGGTGCCATGTCGAGTGTTAACTTGTGCCCACCTTCAGTGTTTCGATGCAGTCTTTTTCCTTCAGATGAATGAAAAGAAGCCCACATGGACTTGCCCAGTCTGTGACAAGCCCGCTCCATTTGAGCTCCTCACTATTGATGGGTAAGGAGATGAGAGCATGCTTTGACTTGTCCCACCCCTGCAGCTTTGTCAGTAAATTCTTAAAGTTTGTATTGTGTAATTTTGAGTACCTGTATGTGATGCCAGTTTGAGGAACATCATTGAAGCTGCAGAGATGTTTTAGTGATTCTTGATACAAGCTCAACCATGCACCAACATGTACCGCTTTCTTTTTTTTCTTTTTTTTTTGGTCTGGTATGAACACTCATTGTGTTTCAAAATTTGTCATTCTCCACCTGCTGTTCATTTATGTTACAGAAGCAACACTTGTGCGTTTCATTTACCAGCACAACAGATAATTCTTAATACGAAAAGTATGTCAAAAAAAACAACAACAACAAAAAAGAAATTTACGGTTTTGTTCTTGTAAGTTCTCAGCAGCTCTCACAAACACATCTTACTGTAGCAAAGACTGAAAGCTTTGTGCAACATATATTTACATTCCTTAAACTAAGTTTGCTTGAAATACCCTTTTTTTTCTTTCTTTTTTTACCTGACCCAGGTTTGATATTTGAAAGTGTAATCATGAAGTATTAAATGTTTTCCTAAATGGCCTTTCATTCATGAAAGAGATTCAAGTATATGTTGTGTTTTTCTTCATCGGAACTTCAGTATCTTGACGTGTGTGTGTGTGTGTGTGTGTGTATGTATGTTGTATAATAATGGTATTATTATTTCATTTCTAATTGTGCGTTTGAGTCAGAACTGAGCTATTAGTTTGATTTTCCCGTGTATAAAGTTATTTTGTGACGTCTCTCTAATGGCCGGTGTGCATTACAGGCTGTTATCTGAGATTCTAAAAGAAACGAGTGAGGACATTGAGGAGATAGAGTACTTAACAGACGGCTCCTGGCGACCCATCAGAGATGAGAAGGAGAGGGAGCGGGAAAGAGAACGCAGTAACACACCTGACTACCCAGTTGTTGATATATGTAAGTTTTAAGCCCTGTCACATCCTCTTGTCTGTAGTTGTTTTGGGGAGTTTTTGCACTGTGTGTGTGTTTGTGTGCGCTGAAGGTAATGAGAGGAAAATCTTCTTCCTTACCTTAAAATTGTATTCCTCTCTGTAGGCATTCCTGAAGCAAATGGCCATTCACCAGCCCACAGCAGCACTAGTCTGACGGCCAAGTCTGGAAGCAGTTCTGTGGGGATGCCAGGAGTCACGGGAGCACCTGCTGTGGCACCGGGTGGAGGTGCGGTGGTAGATCTGACTCTTGACTCTTCCTCTGAGGAGGAGGGGGGCGGGGTTGGAGGAGACAGTGAGGACACTGAGGACAGCGCCGACAGTCCTGCCCCAAAGAGGGGCCGATACAACTATGACAAGGACCTGGTCACTGCCTACTGACCCCACCACTCTGTCCCCTCTTAGACTGACACACAGAGACAGAGAGGCAGGGGCCTTAAAACGTGAGGACAGGAACACAGTAATCCACTAGATGCAACAACCCGCCCTTTTGCCCCAGCGTCAGAGCCTTTTAGCAGCTCTGGTTTATATCCAGGCAGGCAGACAAACACGCACTCAAACATGCACTGTCCATGGTTCTTCAGTCTACAGTGATAAGGATTCCTCTTTGTACTGTACACCACTGGAAGCTACTCTTACACTTCTTGATCAATTGTCACCCTACAGTGAACATCTGTACTGTCCTGCCTCTGCTGAAGAGACTGAATGGATTGAGCACCCCACCACAGTCACGACCCTTGCTTCTCTCTTTCCAGACTATTCCCACTCCGACCCCGTCTCTCTTTGTATATGACTTGGAATTCCTGGCTCTTTTAGCCATGGGCGTTCAATGTTTGCGTCTCTGATTTTTGTCACAGTTGTGATGCACAGGCAAGTTGAAAATGGAAGCTCCTCAGTAGTTTTTGGTAGAAGGTGGAAAACAAGTGAAAACATTTGTGGGAGGACACAGCAGAGATATCTGAAGTGTGATGCAAATTTAAACCTTTCCTATTTTGTTCTTTGTTGACAGAATGAATTCAAAGCTTGAAAGGGTTTTTTCAGGAATTTATCATTTTTATTATGAAATGGCAGGACACAATACTGGCTTCAGTGTGTGATTTCCATTTTTATTTTGTCCTTAGATAAAAAGAACCTACCTCAGTCATAAAAACTTGGCAGACTGACCAGAGAGTAGCTTTGAAAGAAGACGGAAGAATTGACGAGTTTTTCTGAATCCAATTTTACACTGGATATAGTGTTTTCCTGCATTTTGTTGTTGTTTGTTTTGTTTTTGTTTTTTATTCCATTGTTTCATTCAGCTCTGATCCCTCTGTAACAAAAAAAGAAAAACCTTGGTTGAAGTAGAGTTCGAGTATGAATAACCAGGCTAACTGTAGGAGTGAGAGACATTCAAAAACTGGTCAGCAACTGTTTCACTCTGTAAAACATTTCTGCAGTTGTGTCTGTAACAGGATTTCTTAGGATTGGTATCTCAGAATTCCACATGGATCTAGCTCATCAAAATTACTGCGTGGCAGCTATGCCAAAGCAGACATCTTTTAAGAGTTCACTGAGGGGAAATGGTTATGAGGTGCCTTTTTTGTTGAAGTAGTAAAGAGTGAAGCCTATGGTTTTAAGCGCAGCTGAGCTAGCCATTAGATGAGAACCCCAGTCCGCGACAGCATGTTTAAATCAATATTTTCCAGTCAAGTGGACAGAACAGGATTTCAGAGTCATCATTTTATCCCACAGTTGTGACCTGCTTTGAAACTATCATATTTATTTAAGACCTTGACATTCTCTTAATAGTTTGTGGTAAATCTACATAATTCTTGGCATAGTTTTGTATAGACTGGAGCTCTTGATTGCTGGTATTTGGTGTGGAGATGTACATTGATCTGTGCTCACGGCTCTGCTGTTGAACGCTGCTTTCTTTGCCACTGAATGAATCCGACCTGGGTCAAAGTGCCATTCGGAGTATTTTGCTGCAGTGGGTTCAACATGTCTGACACAACAAAACTTAATGAAGTGTCATCAAGTGCAACCCCAACAAGTTGAAAGTCATTGATTAGGTTACAGATGGTCGTGTCTGGAACAAGTAGCGCGCTTCGACCAGCAGCCCTTCTCTGCCTACTTTCAATGTAGATAAGGTCATATCTATTTGATGCTATAGAATTGGACTTTAATTGCTACATGCTGTAGGCTTACAACTTCCTCTGCACCTGCACTAATATTGTCTGTATGTGATGGCTGCTCCTCACACAGGGATCAGTGTTTTCTCTGCATTTACTGCTTGGGATTGGTGGCAGTGTTAACCACAGCTACAACTTCGATTTTTTTTTCCCGTTTTCTTATTCTAGATTTGATTGTAGAGTTTTACCCAATTCTCTGTTGTAAAGCATTTTTATAGAAGCTTGTAGCTAATCTTGCAGATACCCGTCTTGTAGGCCCAGAGGAACACTGGCTCGGATCCTATCCTCCTGTTCTTGGTCAGTGCTGTAACATTATCGGCAGAAGGAGTGGCTTCTTGGAGTAACATTAGAGTTGTTGTATTTACTTCACCTGTCTGCTCCGCTCTGTGCCACCCCCACTGGGGAAGCAGTAAGAGAGACTCTGGGCATGCACTTGGGTTTATCTGCAGGGGGATCATCAGTGTTGGTTTGAGAAGAAGAAAAGAAAAACTTGCTAGAGCTGTTTGCACTTTCATGTGATGCATTCATCAACTTAATAATGCTTTATTTATTTTAAAAGCTCCCATGTAGTGCGAATTAAGGGACCCCCGCCCATTGTGAACATTTGTCATCATTCGTCTTGTCCATACGAATCAGAAAATGTGAAAGTGGACGCAGTCCTATTCCACCGTGACAGGGTTGGAAAGGCGTTCTGCACGTTTTGCTTCCCTTCGCTGTCAGCGCAGGATTTCTTTTGACTTGCTCAAGTGCACAGAAATGACATATACACATCGATCTGAGGCCTCACTGTTCCAAGTGCATCCTCTGACATCGTTGATGATTGGAAAAAGTAGATGGAGTCAAATGTGGTCTTCCATTTTTCTTCTTTTGACGGCTCACAAAATCAATATACAGATAGAAAAATATTTTGGGAATCCGCACAAGACTGATTGATGGCATTTGGCCTCTAACGCATCAGTGTGTCCCTGAAAAGATATTTAAGGTGCTTTGAAGCAAAATATTGTAAAGAACTCTAATAGCTGCCTTTAAGGCATTCTGCATTTGTAATTAACTGCTATACATATGAAAATCACATTTTTCATTCGTTGCTATGTTAGAGAAGGTCATTATTTGTGTGGCTCTCCTAAACTTCTCATTGCCTTATGGTTAAAGATGAGAGATGGTGCAGGTAGTTGCTGTGGAACTGAGCCAGGTAATTTTGCAGATTGGGAGCTAGACAGCGAGCTGAGGGTCTGGTGTTTTTGTAGTGGCATCTCTTCTTGTAATAATGCATAAGGTAGCATGAGCAGAGGCTTACAATCCATGATGTAAATGTTTTGTTTTGTTTTGTTTTTTTGTTGTTTTTTTTTTTATATATGTTCATATTAAAGACAATAAAATTTAAATAATATTTTATTAAGCCTTGAATTGCCTCCAGTTCCTATAGGCAAGTGGAAAATAAGAAGTTGTAGAGGGCAGCAGCACTGGAAGCTGATGCCATTGACGACTGGAAGGACTGGTTAACATGTGGATTGTCATGTTCTGTACCAAAAGCTCAGATCTGGGGACTCATTTGATGCCTGTTGAGGATAAAACTGTAAAATTAAAAAAAGAAAAAAAATGATCGTATTCTAACAGCTGTTATTGACGTGTGGAATTAATTAAAAATCAGTTCTTAAAAACAGCAGTCTGCATTTTTTTTTTATCTTAGATTTTCTGAATTTATTGAGCTGGGCAGCCTTGTGATGGATTGCAAACTCTGAACTGTTCGGCGTGCCTCATTTTCTTAAAAAAGGTACGCATCAACTCAAGAAGAAGAAAATGTGTTTTGAATAAAATCCATCCCGCCTGAGTATCAGGGAGGATTGTGGGGTTTTATTGTTTTAAAAATAAAAGATTACCACTGGTAACATCACTGGGATGTCATAGTTACATGAAATATTTTGTAAACTTTTTTTTGCCATTATTAGACCGTTGAGTGCTGACAGGAAATGAGAACGATAGCGATGAGTAGCGTACTGGAATGATATCACACTGCTGTCTAAGTGGGGATTCAGGTTTAGCACAACCGAAACCTTTATATTCATCACAGACAAAAGCAACACGTATTTATCTGTAGTTGTTTCCCATCCTGTCACAAAAACAGTTCCTGGAGTTGTCAGAGTTTTTTTGTTTTGTTTAATGTAGAAAAAAAAACAACATTCATTTTTCACATCTGAAGAAAAGACTACACAAATACTTGGTCCTCTTTCTGTATGGCGTCCACAGATTAGAGACAGAAACTTCAACATGAAAACAGCCTCATTTAGTCATTTCTGCTACAAAGGCTTTGATATAATATATGGGGTTTTTTGGGGGGTTTTTAAGTGAGCGCACCTTTATTCTTAGAAACCTGTACCCCCTTTAGCAGAAATTATGCCAGCATTGCATTTGTCCCCATTCTGACTAAAGCTTTGACGCCTCTTTCAGTTGCAGGATTATTGAAGGTTTTATTGCTTTTCCTTCCTATTTCAAATCCCTCCATTATATCACTGTGATCTTCAAAACTGCATAGCAGGCCATTCTTTTTTTTTCTTCCCCTTCTATTTGAGCCATTCCCTGGATTTGTTTGTACGCACAGGATCATTACTCTGAAAGCTCCACTTCCAATCCAACTTCAGTTTTGGGTCTACTGGCCTCACATGTACTTGAACCATATTTTGAAATGTTGAGGAAATCACAGCTGAAAGAATTCATGAAAGGAATTCATTCCCTAAGACAGCAACAATGCTTTAAACCAACGCAGCACTGTGCTTTATAACAGCTGCAAGCTTCTTCTCCCGAGGTCACGTGTCTGCCCTCATGTTTCCGTTGCCAACCAATGCGTTGATTCCTCTGTGGGGAGAACATTACCCCAAAAGACCTGGGCTTGCCTCATGTTTTTAATGTCAAACACTAGTTTAATAATCTAAAAATCTCTTTATTATAGTGGGCTTTAAGACAAACTGCTGGAAGAGTTATTTAAAGATGCTGTGATGAAATTCTGGTGCTCTGGGCCTCTACTCTGATGGACCAGCCAGTTCTGGACACATTATTGGTCATCTAAAAAGACTTTTAAAAACCTGAATCAAACACAGTCATCCACACCTTTAGATATCTTTAGAGTTTGGCAGGTTTGGTGATTCATGTGGAACTCTGAAATCTATTTGTTAATTCCTCGGCAGCACTTATTTAGTGAAATGGATGTGTCTGTTTTTTCAGGTTGCTTAAATCTTAATAAGAAACCATCTGTTTTATGTGTTATTTATCTGATCAAGTGACCTTTAATAATAAGAACATGTCTGCTTGTTCACACTGGAAGGAAGATCCATCCAACTACAACAATATTTTGTAAATATTTTAATATTACAAATTTCATTGATGAGTTTCTTTTTATCATAGTGATGTTGAACTTGACTAAGATATATTAAAGAGTCACAGCAGATCACAAGACTGTCAGGATTTTTTCCCCACAAAAGAAGCACATGATAAGTGCTCCTCTTCTTTCTTCTGCTGTCTTTAGAGGTCACTACAGTAGATCATCTCTATTCCTACCCTAACCCAGCATCCTCCTCTGTCACCCCAGTCCTCTGTGTGTCCTTCTTCACTTCATCCATGAACCTCCTCCTCTTCTTCCACTGACTCCATATTTAGCACCTTTTGTCCAGTGTATCATTATCTCTGTACATGTCCAGATCATCTCTCTAACTTTATCTGCAAAGCGATCGACCTGAGCTGTACCTCTAATGTACTCATTTCCTGTCCATAACCAGATGATAGTGTGATACTTATTATATATAGTGTTCTGTCTCACAGTTCAGGATGTTACTGAAAACTGAGCCATCTAAAAATGGTATCTGCTTGGTTGTTATACCATATATTTTATTAATGAGTACGAGTACATGAATACATCTCACTGGCATCGAAAACCTTTTTTGCACAGGAAATCTGGGGAAACTTGTGATATTTACTGTTTGTAAAAGACAATAACAGAGAATTATTCACTCATTTGATATATTAACATTAGGCCATAGATGACCGTGGTTTGTTTTTCCACACGGGTACATGTTATATGAAACATAATTATTTTAATAGAAAGCTCATGCCAAAATAGAAATCTTTTTGATTTTTTGACAAGATGACTCTAAAGCCACTCAATCAAATTTGACCGGTAGAGCATGGCCAAAAAAGACCCCATAAAATATTAGTGTATATATGGACATTTTTCTAAAAAGAAATCATTTTTTTAAACTGTAAAACCTACAACACTCCGCCCCCCTCCTTCTCAAAACTCTGTCAAATACAGTTTTCTGCGATGTACAACTAAGAAGAAGAAAATCGCTCCCAGGTGGGGTCTTTTATATCTTTAGTTTCATATCACGATCGTTTCTGATTTAAGATTAAGTGAAACTATCTTCACTTGAGCCTGTTATTGCCAACCACCGCCAGCAGATGGCAGCAAACACTGCCCCCCCCCCCCACCTTCTGTTCTTGTGTGTTTACTTATTACTAATAAATACACAAAGCTGCACAGGGCAGATGACATATGGTTAAAATGAGCTTGTTCCCCGTTAAAAACAATGTACTGGAGGTGTTACCACAAACTGCATATGTCATCCACCCACCCATGAGATTTTTTTATTTTTGCATATCTCGTATCAACTTGTCAAAGCCAATCTCGCGCTATTTATCACGGGCTCTCCCTGTTGGTGTCAGGTCTGATGCTGCAGGCAGCTGCTTGCTTCCTGTATTAGCCACAGTCCATTTCGCCGCTTGATAACCCCACACCCCGGACTGTATCGCGGACGGATTTACTTTTCGTACCCCGCCCTCTCGCTTAGGGAAACAAGCCGAGTCGGTGTCCCGGTGTAGCTGCCGGTAAAAGCGTGGCGGGCGGCCCCGTGTGCTGTGAGAGGCGGCTGCAGGTTCGGACTGAGAGGCGCAAGGCACGATTTTGCAGGAGGTAGCGCTAGTTAGCAGGAGCAGCTAGGTGGCTAATGGCTAGCAGCAGCAGGTAGAAAACCAAGAAGAAGCTGAGTGACAGAAATGTCTACACCTCGAATTCTATAAGTCAGTTAAACTGAAGAAGCTGTCTGACTTTTAAAGAGCACATCGGGGTGATAGGTTTTACCAGATTAACTAAGTGACATGCTTCTGAAAGTGCACTAACTTAGCTAACGTTAGCTAGCCAAGTTATACTAGAGCTGATCCTGTTGCTTTTTAATACTGACTTTCACACGAGGGAAAGGTTAGGCTAGCAGCAGCCCAGTTCATTGCAGTTTTGTGCTTCTTTTTTAATTTTTTGCCTTTTTCGTTAATTTATTTTTAAATTTTGGACAAAGTCGATTCGGGTTGTTATTGAAATGGGCCCCAAAAGAAAACCCGGTCCCCTTAATATTACGCCCATTGGAGAGGGACAGGCCACCTCCAACACCATTGATGCTGCATCCGAGTAAGTGCTGTCCCTTATGATTAATTGTGTTAAACCACTGAATCGTGAATTGCTTTGTCCTTATACCGAGGTAATTGGCTGTTACTGGAGTTGCACAAGATTTCGTTCTGCACCACCGTATAAGGAGGTGCATATGTTAATTCTCACTCCTTTTAAGGAACTCTGCTAAACCAAATGTCACCTCCTTACAGAGCCAACCTCGAGGCCTTACAGAAGAAGCTGGGGGAGCTGGACCTGGATGAACAGCAGAGGAAACGGCTGGAAGCCTTTCTCACCCAGAAAGCCCAGGTTGGGGAACTGAAGGATGAAGATTTCGAACCCATATGTGAGCTGGGCGCAGGAAACGGAGGGGTGGTCAACAAAGTCCGCCACAAACCCTCGGGCTTGGTCATGGCTCGGAAGGTGAAGAATGATGATTGTTTAACAGCTGTTCTCCAAGTGAAAGTAAAAAAAAAACTGCATTCCACTTCAAGTCTAAGATGTTATCAGTGCACGATGTCTGGAAACGCCTCTTTCTGGAGAAAGACAAGGGAACTGAAAATAATAAAACGGTTACAACAAAACGGTTAGTTTTGAAGTTCAGAAACAAAAATGTTTCAGGTAAATGTCAAAGATATGCCTGAGGTATTTTATTGGCAGCGCCTGAGCTACATAGATCAGCTTATCAAAGAGCGCCGACACATTTTTTCCATTGTGAAATGTTTTGTTTATATTACCTTCACTTTTTTTTTAACAACAAACCCTAATGCTAAGGCTGTGGTGTTTGAACAATGTTTATTTGGTACCAAGGGACTCAAAGTGTGTGAGGAAACTGTCCCCCATACCAGCAGCCTGGACCATTGATACAAGGCAGGATGGATCCGTGCTTTCATGTTGTTTACACCAAACGCAGAAATCAAGACTTATCAGACCGAGCCTTCTACTGTTCACATTTAGTGAGATGTGCAAGTTGTAGCCTCAGTTTCCTGTTCTTTGCTGACAAGAATGGTACCCGCTGTGGGTTTTTGCTGCTATAGCCAATCTGCTTGAAGGTTCAAAGCATTGTGCAGTCAGAGATGTTCTTCTGCATACCTTGGTTGCAATGAGTGACTATTTGAGTTACTGTTGCCTTCCCATTGACTCAAAGCTCTACGGCCATTGCATCAGCAAGCATTTTCGCTCAGAACTGCTGCTGCTCACTGGATATTTTCTCTTTTTTGGACCCTGGAGATG